GATCGACTGATATCATTTTGAAAACGAAGTCCTAATTAGATACATTGTATTGTATATTGTAAATAAAAGATATTAACAAGTATGAACTCCTAGATATCAACATTTTATTCCATGCCTTCATGTAAAGAAAAAGAATATATTGTAATTGATAATGTGGGGAGTATGCAAAAGAGAGGATTACAAAAGATGGAACTACTGATGAAGAATATTTTTTTCTAATCTAAAGAAGGAAGAGTAATGTATATGAGACTGAGAGGTAGAGGTGAGAAAGAGAGAGAGAGAGAGAGAGGGGGCAATAATAAGGATATATTGACTGCTTTGAGAGGCATAGTGGTTTCTATAGGGTCAAGGGAAACTCACAACCTGCTATGACCCCAAGGCGCTTGCGCCGCGGGGTCATAGCAGGTTGTGAGTTTCCCGAGACCCTATAGAAACAACTATGCCTCGAATATTAAAAGCAGTCAATATATATTTTATATACCGAAAAAAAGGAAAATGTTGACTCACCCATTTAGGTTTCCATCTCATCGCACAAAAGAAACTTATACGGTAACACGTAAACCAAAATGGGGATCGCAGCAAAATGACGTCACGTTTCACAGCCATGGAAAAAGTGCTATGAAAAATGGATATAAACCGGTAGAGCCGGGAAAAATGACTATGAATTTCAATTAGCGGGCATGGTTGGGGATCGCAGCAAAATGACGTCACGTTTCACAGCCATGGAAAAAGTGCTATGAAAAATGGATATAAACTGGTAGAGCCGGGAAAAATGACTATGAATTTCAATTAGCGGGCATGGTTAAGAACATGACTGCATTTTCAACCAATCAGAAGACAGGATTAGTAAAGAATCTTAAAATGAGGTATATAATGATGTGTATTCAATGAAAAAAACGATATGAAATGATTTATGTAGACATTGTTCAAGCATGGGGGAACTTGCAGAAAGTTTGGGATTTGGAAGGGGAGGAACTGAGAGAAGGGTTTGTAATTGTAATTTTAAAAATGGAATAACGAAGAATTAGAAGTGAGACAAAAATTAAGTATTAAAAGCAGATTCATGGGAAGAGATTGTTTTAAAAAATGCGGGCACGAGGATAGATGTGTACTCTTAAAACAGAGTGAATAGGGGCTAATGGAAACCAAATAAAACGAAAATGGAGTGTTTTGATATTACAGACTTACTAAACAGAACAGCGACAATGTTAATGGTGATTTAATATGTTGATCATGGTTAGGATAATAATGCTACATGTAACGGCTGCCGATATGTAATGACATGAAAAACAGAGTGATTAACGAGGAAGATATTATTGGTCATAACAGAGATTTATGAAGTTGATATTGTATAGATGTAATGACTGCTATGAGGGCAATACTGTTGTTTTATAGGCTCGAGGGGATGTTGCATCATAATATTGATGACGACGATGATAATTCAATGATGGTAATGATGACGATGAAGATGATGATGATGATGATGATGACTATATGATAAAGATGATTATAATGTCATGATATCAGGGGCGGATCCACGTAGCGATTTTTCCTGAAAAATTGGACCAAAAAAAAGGGGGGGGGGGGGCTGACGGGTCAAAAAAAAAAAAAAAAAAAAAAAATCTCACGAATTAGGTCCAAAAAAATAAATAGTGGTCTCACCCCCCCCCCCCCCCCGCTTATTCACCGGCTGACTGAATCGGCGCAAAATATTTCCTGAAAAATTGGACCAAAAAAAGGGCCTCCCCTACACTGTCACCCACACTGACCCTGTCAAATTCAAAATTGCCCTATCGTCCCCCCCCCCCCATCTACAAATTAATACACCCTACCCGCACCTCCAGTTAAAACTCAGACGATTATTTTGGAGGACAAACCAACCAAGAACCAATATAACGCATTGATAGAGTCTTTATACCAACCCTCCAGTGAGTGACTGAAGGGGCTAATGCACGACCATTCACGATTATAATCACGAAATTTTATTGCCAAGGGAGGAAAATTACGGGAGATATCTCGGGAACGGGGAGGATGCAAAATGAAAGTTTATCGCGACATTTGGAACACATGGAGAGAATATACCCAAACAAGAAAACGATGGAGCAGATGTGAAATGATGATTAAGATATATTTTTAAAGTCTTTGAAATTCGTAATGAGATTGAAAACGTCACAATGAAAAGTCTTATTTTGCGCAAAAATCATTTGCGCGCTAGATGCAAAAGCACGCGTTGCGCATAACGACACTGCGTTATCAGTTTGTTTGTTTTCTTTTTAATATCATCGTATTGCTGAAAAGGGTGAAAATACAATATATCTCGCTTCTTTTCTGCCCTTTTTACGGAGAAGTGTGAGGTCATAACTTAGTGTTTGTAAGAAAGCTGTAGCTTGACAGAAAGAGAAAAAACGATGTCGAAAGACGAGGGGCAGACGATCAAGCAAATGAGAGGACAAATTTCAGCATTGGCTCGTGAAAATAAAATGCTGACTCACAAGATGAGTCTACTGGAGCAGAATGCGACGCTGAAGCAAAATGCGATGTTCTCAGGCTTTCTCAAGTGGATGGAAGAGACTGGAGGGAAGTCAAAAGAGGACGGTCATTCTCATGGCCATGAAAGAGATTCCGAATCTCCAACAGCCCTGATGACGTCTGTGAAACAAGAACCGATTTCAACGGAATCACAACGCAGATCAAAGGTTCAGGATGATGTTCCCATGGTTTCTAGAGGTTCAACAATGAATAGATCTCACCAAATTAGAAATTCTTCTTTCAACACAAAACCAGAAAATGCTCGTATTGACAGATCTTCTAAACAGCAAGCTGCTTCAGATGCTGGATTGGGTCAAAGGTTTAATGAGACAAGGCTTAGGCCTAGATCTAGTGGAAGTCCTAGATCTAGTGGAAGCCCTAAAAACATGGATGATCATTCTCGAGTGAAAAGCTCTTACCGCAAGCCTAAACATTTTGGAGGAATCACGTCATCACCAGACAAAGGCCCGTTCGACCCACACCAAGAGAGAATATTACAAGTGTCTAACCCATGGTGTGCTCCTGCTTCCTATCGGCATGTTGACTTTGTACCTCGTCCCGGGGAATCGGCCATGACGGAGAGCTCAGATATAAGAAACGACTGGCTGAGAAGACAGGATGAAAAGCTTGACCACGCCCAGATGAGGTCCACACCCGTGACATCAACGCCGAAAAGGCCAAATACCAGCATCAAGTTTAAAAGGAACGTGAATAAAAACGATTGTCTTGAGGCTAAAGTCGAGTCATTACTGGAGGAGACAAGACTAGCTGCCAGCCCAGATATGCAAGGTTTTGCAGCTAGCAACGCCATTAGCAGTGTTCATTCACGACCTGTGACTTCCACTCCAGCAAAGACTCCACAGAAGAGGGTTATATTTGAAGATGAGATGAATGAGAACGCACCAAGGAGTCGTGGTGATCCGGTGTCATCAGTACCTCGCCCCTACGACTGTGACCCACTTAATCTCTTCACCCGTGGGAAGACGCCAGGCTCCTCAGTGAGACAATTAGCGTACCAACTAAAGGGTTTATCACCAGAAGATGATGACGGTTCCGTCGTCGCCCCCACCGTTGATCCTAGCCCCCAAAATAATTGTGATCCACTTCATCTCTTCACCCCTGGGAAGACGCCGGGCTCCGCAGTGAGACAATTAGCGTATCAACTAAAGAGTTTATCGCCAGCAGATGATGACGGTTTCGTTGATTCTCGAGACAAACGCTCATTTCGGCGCCAAACATTAAATGATAAATCTGATTCACGCACTCGACAACGTGGCAGTCCGTCGCAGAGACCAACTTCATCACGAAAAGGATACAAACATAATATCAGCAAGAATGGATGGACAAGATCAAAGAGTGTTAGTGAAAATAATTCGGCTAAACGTGACTTGCCATTGGATGCAGACGAAGAAACCTCATTTCGTCCGTCTGTAAATGCAGATAGATTATTCGGTAGCAAAGAAAATGGATTTTGTAACCATGAACATGCCAAGAATTTCGACTACAAGACGAATTACCAAAATGATCATGCATCTTTTGTAGGAGAAAGTCGAAGCAAAAGGTCAAAATATGAAGGGGTGACGAACACTTCACCAGGATTGGCGCCAGTGCCGAAGTCTCCACTCCAGTCGAAATCACAGAGGCAGCAGGGTTCTTTCAGTACCGCATCTGACATCTCAAACACTGAGCCAACAATCGAGATGCTTGAAAACGAACTTCGAGATATTTACAAGCAGAATCTTGATGACGAGGTGAAAATTACACAGATTCGGCGCAGCGCCGTCAGACGGTTTGACGATTGGCGGAATGCGATGGAAAACGAGATGGTGAACCTTGAAAAGGATGGCAAAGAACGACTTGCTGAAAACCTCGACAAGCTCAGTCATTCCCTTCCGGCTTGTTTGAAATGTGACTGTTCAACTGGATTTGATGGTAATTTGAGATCAGTTGCCGTAAGTGAGGGTCACCTGAGCGAACTTGAAAGTGGACTGGGATCAGGATTAGCAGATATGGAAAAGAGTCACGGTAAGAAAATGGTTGAGAGTGACTGCACAGAGCTATCTCTCCAAACAGAGTCACCTTCGCGAAAACCAGAAAGGGGTATTGATCTAGGTTTTACTTTAATTGCATACAATCTCAAATGGATTTTGTGAAAATAGGCATTACTGTTTGGTAGGGTAAAGATTAATTTTAGCAGAAGAGAGTTTAGATTTATTGTATACAAATCTACCATCCTCGGATGTACAATAGAACCGTGCAGATTTTTTAATATTTTTTGATACAAATAATGAATGTAACATGAATTATATCAATTTATTCTTATAATAAATTCATTGGAAAGGAATTTTCAGTTACATGCCCATCTTAAGTCTTTATGTCCGGAGTTCTAAACAGGGAATATACATTATATAGGCATATTGACGATTATAATACATACATGTAGTTATCTAAAGTTGGGCTATGGATTTTCATGACAGAGAGAAAACGGTTCTTAGATACGCAGACGACATCACCGAGATCTGTCTTCATGGCTAGCCCAGACACCATCATCTTCGGCGAGGTCGCTTTCCAGCTAGAACGAGTAGTGCTCTCAAGAGTGTTCCGAGGAGGATCAAAGCAATTAACCGGTAAATACGATATACAGTGCGCCCAGAAAAAACAAAACCGAGAATTATCGATGTTTTATCATCACAATCTTGATTAATAAATGACACATAGTTATAAAGCTTAGATCCTCCTTTTTCATTTGATGCAACTCGTATGATGCATATTTCACGCATGAGTGATGAAAAACGATTTGAAGAGAGGGTACCAACAAGTCATTTGGCGGGCGGTATCTAAATTGTAAAGAGAAAATTACATTTCTAGAAAGTTCATTTTCTGCCCTTTCATATGACACCTCAATTAGGAAAATGAGCCAGGAATAACAAAGATCTGTTTGTTTAAAGTAATGCTTGCATTTTCATATTTTGATTAAACGAATTCGTTTTCACTGGCTGCCTGCCGTAGCAACAAGCAGAGTTGACAAATGACTTAACTCCGTTTCGTTGACGGTTAGCCAGTCTTTCGTCTTCTTTGTGCATGGCTGATCGTCAACTTATTTAAGCTATCATTTATATTTCACGTACTGTTCCCAAATATGTTCGTAAGTGATTCACATGTATTTCCTAATGATATTCCATTTTCAAAAGTTGTGTTCTCATGCATCTAGACAATTCAGAGATACCGTAGAAGATATCTTGGAGTAAAATATTCATACACTGTATATGCCTGAACCATCTTTTCAACCGTTTACCTCCCATTATCACGTTGATCTTTTCCATCTCAATCAAGGTTATACTTTGTCCAACATGGAAAAGATGATTCAGAGTCACTATGACAACCATGAGCGACCCATGCTCGGGAGACAGTTAGACGAGATCGAAGGTGAATTGCATATGTGTGGATGGGATCGTGACTATCATCCGGGACTCGTCGCCCATCTCATCAAGAAATTCGGGACTTTCCCTACAAACACCAAAGCAAAGAGCGCGGCTAGAAAGAGAGGTAAAGTCACTGAGCACATAACTGCCTCATCAGAATAGGCAGGCTGCCTTTCTCTATCCTGCAATATTACTAGCATCACCCTTTTTCATAATCCTAATCATCATCATACTTATCAAGTATTCATTTTTCATTTCGTGCTTTCTTCTTCCTTCCCCCCCCCCTTTTTTTTTGTATGCCTCCGCCCACCAAAGGTGGTGCCGGAGGCATTATGTTTTCGGCTTGTTCGTCCGTCCGTCCGTCCCACTTTCTAGTTATCGTGATATCTCAAGAACCACTTGAGATATGAACGTCAAACTTGCATGATGATAGTATTGTGTATCATAGGAAGACATCCTGATTAGATTTTGGAGAAACTAGGTCAAAGGCCACAGAGGTCAACTTATACAATTTAAGGTATAGGCCTCGTTTTAACAATTGATGAATGAATAATTGATTTTAGATCTTTGCTGTGACTTGTTCTATTTATATGTTATATGACATTGATTGTTGTCATGTACATTTTCTGCTATTTATTTAAGTTAGTATTGTCTGTTGGGAGCCAGGGGAGTACAAATAATCAAATAATTCCCCTGGCTCTCAACAGAGAGGTTAAATTATATTACATTGTTATGTTATTTATGTTATTTGTAGTTACTGTCTATGATAATTATGTTAATGTATTGTTATATCTATACAAATGTGAGCTGTAAAACGATTTTTATGCCTTCATTTTATTTTGTGCATGACAATAAAGAATTCAATTCGTTATCACAATATATCAAGAACGACTTGAGAAATGAAGCTCAAAATTGTTGATAATAATATTATGTGTCACCATAGGAAGACGATCTTATTAGATTTTGGGTTAGTAGGTCAATGGTTAAAGGTCATAGAGGTCAATTTTTGAAATTACTGTTTTTTATCTTTATCTCGATATCTTAAGAACTATTGGAGGTATTGGCCTCAAACTAGGCGATAGTATCACCATATATGTACTGTTTCGTTAGATTTAAAGTAAGTAGGTCAAAGGTCACAGAGGTCAATTTCTGAAATTAAAGGTTTTGGGCCTTGCTATTGCAATATCTAAGCATGGCGACGATATTACTATATGAAGATGATCCAATTACATTTTGGGATTAGCAGGTCAAGATCGTAGTCGTCGGTTGACATTTAATTATAGGCTTTTTTTTTCATTGTGATATGTCACAAATAATTCCAGGGGGTGTTTCATAAAGCTGTTCGTAAAGTTACGCATGACATTACGAACGACTTGTATATGAAAAGCCAAATGGGATGCTCAATCATTATTAACTGCATCAAGAAAGTTGAACTGTGCAGATGTAGATTAACATTCTTATCATAACAAACATTTTTAATGAAAGTATATTTTTTGCCATAATTTAATTGAGGTTATTGAAAATATCAGAAAAAACTTTGGGCATCATATCTGGCACTTTATATACAAGCCGTTCATAAAGTCATGCGTAACTTCACGAACAGCTTTATGAAACACCCCCAGGAACAATTATGGAAGAAGCATATATAGGAGACGCAGTCGCATTTGTCTTATGTTTTTGTTTCTCAACATCTCTCAAATTCTCCAGTTTTTACAACTTTATAATCTTCTAACTCTATTTTCCCCTTACAATCTTTCCTTCTCTTGTTTGTACCACAAATTTCTCAATTTTTTTGTATAGACTATCCCCCTCTCACTAACCTTTTCTTTATTTTTTCAAAATATGATTTGACGCATCTTTGATTCTTAGAACTTTTTCTAACATCCTTTTCTTCTTCCACTCTCTACATCCCCCCCTCTCACTTTCTTTCCCTTTCACCCTGTTTTTCCTTCCTTTTCCTTTCTCTGACTTTCTCTTTCCTTCCCCTCCTCTCTTTCTTTCGTCCCTCTCTCTCCCTCTCTCTTTCATCCCCTCTCTCTCTCTTTCATTCTCCCTCCCTCTTTCATCCGCTCTCTCTCTCTCTTTCTTTCACCCTTCCCAGGTTGGACCGAACCACAGGCCCTAAAAGAAGAAGTGCTATGGAGGATCCCCAAGGAATACATACATGACATGATCATCATTCTGGATTGCTTCTTCTATCTTAGCGAGAAATACAACATCTCTCTCTTTACATGGTGAGGTGATGGGTCAAAGGTCAGAATGTGCATGTCTGATGTTGATATGAACTGATCAAGAGCAAAGCGACGGGGGAGGTGCCAAGTGACCTTTCAAACACAAGATCTGTGATTCTTCCTCCTCTTTCACCTCTATCGGTCTTTCCTTTCCTTTCTCTTTCCTTTCATTTCTCTTTCCTCCCTCCTCCCCTCTCTCTTTCATACAGGGAGGTGCCAAGTGACTCTCACACACAAAATCATATATCATTACCACTACTAATTTTCTTTTTTGATTTTGAATCAATAGCGTTTTATTAATCAGATATCATATATGCTTATTTCAAATTGGAAAGAATCTCATTTTGCTTATCAATCTGAACTTTTCAAAGGTTGTAAAAACAACACAATGATTGCCTTCATTAGAAGCACACAAAGATCAGGGGCCTGTTTCATAAAACTTGTTATCAATAACAAATTTTAAAATTCTATTACAAAATTGCTCTCAGCCAATCAAATGCCATGGTTTCAGAAGCTCAAACATTTAGTGTAATTTTTTAATGATAACAAGTTTTATGAAACAGGGCCAAGGCCCCCCCCCCTATCTCATAAAGAGCTGCAATTGATCAAAATATCAACTTTTAAATAAAATTAATATCAGTAACTTCCCATATCAAGAAAGGAGTATACGGTAATTATGATGGGAGGACTTACAATGTATAATCAATTTGAGTGAATTCATCACAACTCTTTAAAAGACAAGGGCCACAGCTCCAAAGCTTATGGCCAGGTATGATCATTTCTCTGCTGTCAGATCAGATTAATAATGTTTTTTAAATATTTTTTAGGAAGGTCAAGATGGATATTTACCTTGCACAAATCCCACTCCTTTCTTCTCATTTTTCATTTCCACAGCTTAATTATGACCTCACCAACAACTTTGGGTACAATTTCTGAACTATTAACATAAAAATGATATGAACATATCTCTACCATAAGATATTTGGTCATTCCACATTGACACATAAGCCAGACACACAGTGATACACCAGAGTTTAAAGATATTTTCAGTTTCTGATTTTGTTTTCAGATGCGTTAGGATTAAAACTGATTTTAAAAGATGAATGTGACTGTGTCTTTACTATGTTCCTGTCTGTAATTCAGTTAACAAAAGTTGACAAAATGTTGAACCCTATTGTTCTATTGCACTGTAACACAGAGACATAACATATCATTATATTTCTCAAAAACAGAAAATATAACTTGTAAATATGACTTGCCAATAGCACCTCAGATACATTTTGTGTATACCTTAATGACATACAAGGTTCCTACCATTTTCAATACTGGCTCATACGGTTAGGCAGTGACATTTTGTTTGTTTTTTCTTTGTCTAAGCTCTCTAATTCAGAGTAGAAATTATATACCTCATACATAGATTGTCATTCACTGATTGGTCAATACTATATCACATGACAAGGAGCATTTTGATCTATCATTGCATCAGAGGGTTTGATAGTACTATCAAACACTGTGATAGAACTCCTAACCCCTTATTTTCTAGACCTATTCATGAATCAATGAAAAGGATGAGGTATATTAAACAAATATGGACTGCTCTGTAATGGGATGGTGGAGGAAATTATCACTCCCTCGGTGGTGCTAATACTGGCCCTTCTATCACCCTCGGCTTCGCCTCGGGGTCGATAGAAGGGCCGGTATGAACACCACCTTGGGAGTGATAATTCCAACCATCATCCTCATGAGCAGTCAATATTTGTATAATACTAATTTGGTCATGACTAAACGGATCTCAAACAATGTTTTTAATCATAGCATATGTCAATTTTATCATAGCTACATAAAAATTATTGAGAGATACTCAAACTTCTGAGCTACACTTCCATTTGGCACACAGTATAATCAAACCACATTCAAACCTGTATTATTTTGAAGACTACATGTACAGTCCTTGCCTATGAACATGACAATTTTGTCTCTTAATATCAACCCTGAAATTTCATGTAACCTATGAACTTGTCTGCTGATAAACTTGAAGTGTCCTTACAATTCAGTTTGAATGTATAATAAAGGGCCAAATCCAAATTATCTTGTCCCATAAATTACAGACTACATCAAAAAATTTAATGCATCTGATTTTAGAATCAGCTTGAAATCAGACCAAATATTAAAGAAGACTTTTCCTTGGATAAGTCTATTATGTTCATAATTGCATGATACGTTGTAACAACTGCAACACAAAATGACCATGTCCAAGGGATACGCCTAGAGTTAAATGGAGAACTTCAGATGAGGTTAAAAGACGAATGGCATGAAAGCCTTCCTCTCTTTAGGATAATCCTCAAACTTTCCTTGGTACCATCTATGGACCTTGACCGAGGCAGCAGTCTGATTAGAGAACACAAAACTAAGGACAAGCCACCATGTCCTATGATGACCACCAAGGATGACCGCTAAAGAAGTATAGATGAGCGTTTCTGCTAGGTAGTGAGGGCAGGATACGTAGTCAAACCAATCTCCTTGTGGAATCATATGACGGCTCACATCTGGATCAGAAAATAACAAAACTATTTATGTTGGAAACAATTTCATACTCATTAAACTTGCTTTTCCATTTTAATTCATCCTCTGCCATGTTCAGATTAGTAGTCATCAGTTTAATTGATACTAATTAAAAGAAAAAATTGACCTTGCATTTCATAATAATGAGGTTGATCACTTTTGTATTTTTGACTTCTTCATTTTCTTTTGAATGTAAATCGAATCAGTTGTCTCAGTAGAAGGGGAATGGTCAGCTATGGGCATTATTCGCTTCTTCAGCTGATGTTCAGCATTTAATAACTTAAAGGTATAGACCAGTTTTGGAAACGCCTCCCTCTTAAAAATGAAATGGAAGCTCTTATTACCAATCATGTGAAACAATATGTTTTGAATAATATATGTGATGATACAAATTTTGCCGGGAAATCGCCTACTAATTGATATATTTGGTAAATTATTATATCTATCCGGACTAGATAGATATCGCATAGTCCCATATACATCTTTCTGTGTACAGTGCTTGTAACTTTACCAAGATTCATTTTGATGATTCCAGAACCTTACAGTACACACCAATACTTATATGCTAGATGATCAACCTTTTCTGATCGATTCCACAACGTTTATTTCACAATGCAATCGCATGACCAGAACTGGTCTATACCTTTAAGATAGGACCATCTAAGCGTATTGAAAGAGATAGTTGTGTACATGTAAACCATTCATAGAGCTCCAAATAGTATCCTCCCATAGAGATTGTATGTGCAAGGGGCGTGCGTGTCGCAACTACGTCTCTCAATACACTATGGGCAGGACTGGTTGCCACTGTGTGTAGATTTACCTTTCTTTGTTTTTCTCAAACTGGCAAAGATGACATGAGCTATATGATGATGCCAACTGGCCCAAACAAACATCAATAAACCTGCTATGTGATGCCAGCGTAAGTCTTCCACAAGATCCATTAGTTGGATAGGTTCACCTAGAGAGATAACAGATAAATCAACTGAATTGCTACAATCCTGAGCGGACTGAGAGCATACAATGCACATATCATCATAGAGGGTGAACTTAAACAAAAATGAAGAAAAAAAAGTGGTATGACATGAAAAACACAGACAATCAAGGTAGCTTTGTGTGAAAAGATGCATAGCTGAATTCTAAATCAAAAGTTTAATCATCACTCCATTATCATAGGGACCAACTATTTCACAAATTAATGATATCTGAATAATGCTCTACTTGTAATGTTGGAAGAGCCCCCATTCCCTTTATTTCAACAAAATATTTAATAGCAAATCACATGTATGTGACTACTGACCAATCTTGCTTTCTGGTATCACTAAGTAGTGAGCTCATTGTAAGCGAGACTTGTATGCTAGAAAATATTGTCAAAATGTTTTCTTCCCCCCCCCCCTCCAAAAAAAAAAAAAATTATCCACGTACCGGTACCTTTTAAACTGAGATTGGGTCCCTCTGCCATGATGCTGATGCCAATGAAAGAGTAAAAGAAGATACCAGTGATGTAGTGAGTCACATGGATACTGGAGTTTGAATACACACTGACGGCAAGACACTCATAGATCCTTCTGTGAGCGTGGATCACTATTACAGCCATGGCGATTAAAACGGTCAGAAGGTCAACTGAGTATGGACAGGAAGTAGGAAGGAAACAAATGATGAACATCTATGATATATTGCTATTATTGGGTATCAATCCAAATTCAGTAAGCCTACCGGTACCTACTTTTCAAGAGCTTTAAAAAAAAACGGGTACAAAAGGGGGATCCTGTGCTTTAAGTATCCACTACAGCATATGAATGAAAAATATCTTGATAGGACTATGACTAATAATGGTACTAATACCAGAAAGAACAATTTTCAATGAGACGAGTATATTGAGAGATAATTCATTTTTGGATGAAATATATGGAAAAAACAGACAGGATACATTGCACAGAATCAACCATAAAGAGAGGTTCAAAATATCATTTATATTGAGATGATGTGTATAAGAGCTGACTGAATAGCTGAACAGATGCAGTTGCCCCTAGCCTTCCTAAATATTTTAATGGTTTCGATTTTGTTTCCTCTACCATTACTCATTTTCTATGTATGTATGTAACCATGGATCTAATGTACTTTCACTAGCTTAGAGGTATAAATACTTGCAGTCACTATTTTTATTTGTCCAAGTTTGGTGAGGATGGGGGATCTTCATTCTGGTTGTTTTGCGATAATTTCCTGATCAATTCTTGTCAATGTTTGAAATTGTTTTTGAAAACAAACCAAGTAAACTTAATTATTTGTATGTTGGCCCACTCTTGATAGCATATCGATGAGCCTAAATGTAGGAACAAGAGTCTGATACAATTCAAATATATGCATTAAGAAGATGAAATAATCAATTGTTTGGTAAAGTATAACAAAATGTATGAGCCGGTCTAGGTGTTGTCTGTTGTTTCATGTTATTACACAACCTCCTCCCTCCACAAATTGCAGTAACCATGGAAGAATCCTGGATCGATGAACAGGCTTAGACCTACAACATTGTGTATTAAAGTAAATTAAAAGTAAAGTAAAATCCTTAATATGATAAATGGTATCACATTCACCTACCTGCTGGAGGGGATACAGGATAACTTGTGAGGAAGGACATCATCTTAGAAAACCAGAGAGGCAGGACTGAACCTTGTAAAGTACACTGAACAACATTCATTAAGATGAAGCCATTCCAGATGAAGGAAAGGATATAAAAGTGGACAAACCATCTGTAGAAAGAAATAGATGCAAAGTTTTAAGACTCCAAAAAGAATTAACTGCAATTTACTATCAACTTTGCATTACACAAAATAAGTAAAAAATGATATTTTTGAAGATTTTAGAGGACCAGGGGGGTGTTTCACAAAGAAAGTTGAACTTATCTCTAAGTTGGAGTAGATATTTCTGTGTTATTTTTTATCTTAAATAATATTCAGTGTCATATTGCAGCCAAAGTGGATATAGTCTAGTCTATGAATACGTAAATAAAAAGAGTGAAAAACTTGTTGCATATCTCATTCATCACAGTCCAGCCGAACTGAACTATTCCTCCCATACTGTCCCCATAGGACGTTCTTCAGTCTATGTATAGAGGCGGTCAGAGGAGCCAGATGCAATCTCAACGGAACAAAACCGTCGATATCAGACTCAGAGCTCAGAGACTGAAGCTTTTGATCTATGCAAGCGCAAGTAGGTCTATGAATTATGATGATCAAAAATAAATTAAAGCAGGTTTGCTTACTAAGTCTAAACTCTTCTGAAGGTAAAGCAACATTTCAAGGACCAAGATGGAACATTAATTATTGATAATTATGAAAAAAGGCTTTTGAACTGAAAAACATGGCATTTAATTTAATAAGCCAATTGACTCAGCTCAGCTCAGCTCAGAGCCTTGATAACGATATTCAATCGGGGGCTACTACAACTTGAATTATAACGTGTGGGACCGTTATCAAAATTCCACAAACAAACCTTTTTGGCACCAGTAAATACTGCTGAATACCGGTTCGTTTCCTCGGGTCTAGGAGCTTTCCGTAAACGACGACATCTTTTATAAGATGTGGTAAAAAATTGTATACCTCAGGAGAGTAAGAAAGTAACACAAATACAAATGACACGATAAAAACGAGCCAGGTCCACGAAAGGGGATCCATTTTGCGCCGGATGTTAACGCTGGCCTTATCTTGAAATGATTGCATAATAATATTCGCATCGGACCCGCCCACTTAACTTTTGTATTCGAGGAATAGACTAGTTTACTATCATATTCAAGTTCCATGCATACTCTTTAAACATAGGGTTTTCCTGACAACTTGGAAACTTGCCCGAGCTTTGCCAGACATAGCAACAACTAATGTATTCAAATTTGAATGTGTTAGTAAACATGTCTATTACAGGGGGTGGGGAGACATGGACATGTTTTAGTTCAGGAGGGATATTCTGCCCATGCAAGTGGAAAAAACTAAAATTTAGGACTCAAAATCTTAACAAGCTCCTTCTTTAAAATACCAGATGGGTATTGATCTATTCTACAAAGAAACTGCAAATAGAAGATGTTGGGGTATTCTTTTATTTGAAACTTGATATTAACATTTTGTCAATTACAATTACTTTTATCTTCTAATGAATTCTGAAGTTCTCTCTTTCTTTCTCTCTCTCCCAGCCTTTCCAAAGAAAAATTATATTCTGTTAGACATAAACTGAATACTCGGTCACATAATTGAGACAAGGCATCTAGAAGTAGCTAAAATGCCCCTCTAAACTGGATGCTCCAATATATTACATTGATCTAAAAGCCAATTTGTGAAGGCAGTGGCGTACAAAGAATTTTTTCAGGGGGGGGGGGGAGGGGATTTTAACATTTTGAAATCGACTCAGCCAGATGCTGAATAAGCAGGGGGGGGGGGGGGGGGGCGGTAAGAGGACATTTTTTTTTTTTTTTGTCCCGAAATTTGATCGATCGACATACCGTTTCGTTGGGGGGGGGGGGGGGGGGGGGGGGGGGGGGGGGTGAGGTCATCTTTTTTAGGAGGAAAAAAAAAATCACAATTATAAGGGGGGGGGGGGTCTTCTCAAAAAAACATACACATAAAAAAAACTGAAGGGGGCGTTTTACCCCAAACTCCCCCCCCCCCCTTGCGTACTCGACTGTGTGAAGGCATTGTTGGGTAACGGTAGAGCAGTGGACATACAGGATTTTTTAAAAAGAGCTAGTGTTTTCCTTCAATTGAAGATTAAAATTAAATTTCAAAAATGTCATAACTTTTTTTTCCCATCCCGATTCTGATCCACAGCCCCCCTTCTCTCTCTCTCTCTCTCTCTCTCTCTCTCTCTCTCTCCATCTCTCCCTCCCTCCCTCCCCCTCTCTCTTTCCGCATCTTCATTTCAAGTCTATGGTAGACATATGGAATATCTTTTATTTAAAATCTACCAGCAGATACATTTTCTTAGTAATTAGGTAAACGATCAAGTACTAAGAAACCGATAAATAGTATGAAGAAGAAAAAAGAAGTTCAAAGTGGATTAAATAATGGAATAACAAAATGAATAAAAGGACAGAGTCAAATAACAAGAGATTTTGCCATACCAAGGCATAACCTCCCTCCATTAATATCACTCAGCATTGTTTATTCATTAATCACACACAACAGCATCATTGAACACAACACAAAGACCAGTCACTGCATCATAAAGAACGACAAAATCCAAAGTGAGATGGAATCTGTGAATAAATAACATTTAATCACTTCCAACTCCAAATAGATCATCAACAAGGTGTACTAAAAATTGGTTCATAAAAACTAGTTCTGCCAACATTCCTTATTTAATTGCATTGTCCCGCATCTGTTTTTTGTGCTGTTAACAGAATTGCAAACGCACTTATCAACACCAAGGTAATATGCTACAATCAAGCAATACCAATAACAGGTAGAAATTGGAGCATATCAGGAAAAAAATAAAACTTCTTAGTCCACACACATTGTTCCACTATACACCGTTTCATAAAACCACTAACAAAAGATATGAATAAAGTTACTAAGAACCCAAAACGAGAAAATACGAAATCAACAAGTGAAATAGATTAACATTGAAGTGTACAGGCATAAATAAATTTATATCCCCATCTTTTTTTAAAGAAATAAATTAAATATAATACATGTACCGATAGGTGTAATTATAACAGAAAGAGAGAAAGAGGGAGGGGAAGAGGGAGAGGAAGAGGGTAGGAGGGAGAAAGCGAGAGAGAGAGAGAGGGGAGAGAAAGAGGAAGGGGGGGGAATAAACATTAATCTACATTTGACAACCTAGTTGAGCATAATATTATAGATTGGGATCTACACTATTCATAAAACACTAACAATTATTCATAAGGACCATTCACAAGGAGAGAAACAAATCATGATAAAGATTCTTGTAAAAGCATTGTCTAAATGATAGAATATATATGCCTTTTCATTTCTTCTAAGTTTTTAAGTTTTTACATAATAAAGTGATCTTGTATTTTGCAACCCGCTATTTCTTAAATTAATGAATGCACACATTTTAAATCTATCACACATCCCTGGCTGACCCTCCAAAGACAACCCTACCCTACTACATGTACAAACACTTTCCTTACTTGAAGTGATTCATAGAATATGAATACAAATAGGCTTGAATCTCTACAGTACAAAAAGATACACAAAAGAGTATATGTTTTCATATCACAAAACTGACACACACATTTCAAACAGTGAGTTCAATGAAGTATACCTTCACCTTCTTATGGGCTGGCTTCTCAGGGTTTATAATTTATCTTAACCTAATAGTAAGTCCAAAAATTGAAGACAGGAATTATTAATTGAACCATAAACCTCATCTTACAAGAAGGCACTGGTTATTGTTCATTCTCTTTCTAAAGATTTGCTTGATTGAAGAAAGAAGTAAAGTGTCACAAACCAGAAAATCAGAGAGTATCGAGGTGAGACCATGGTAATTTAATTGTCTCGTCAGGTAAATGCTAGAAGAGGGTGGGGTCTACTGAACCACCCTCAGTAGTACTGTTAACATCATCATTGCACAAGTGAAGACATGAGAAACATCACAGTTGATATGACCAAAAGCTCACATTCTGAAGGTCCTTGAGAGCAAAGGTTTCTCTCGTATGGGCCTTCTAAAGAGTTGAGACTATAGTTAATAAGACTGAACGTTCACAGGAGACGAAACTTCTTGGTCTAGAGGACTTTAGGTCTCCTAGACTTTCATCTTGTATAGACATATAATCTACTGGGCTGTAGCCACATACATCACACACATAAGTAAGGGTGCACTTGGTTGAACATTCAAAATATGTTTACAAAACATCGGGGTTTTACTAATTTATACTTGCAGTTACCTACATAGTACTGTCTGCACTTAAGTACAATCACACTATATACCTGATATATACTGCAGCTATAAATATACTCAGAACTCTATAGTATTTACTGGATATAATACACTTTTAGAAGCAACATATTGGATCTTCTAATTTATATGAGTAATTAACAGCTTGTGAAACTTTTGAGAGTACATGGTTTTCAATTGAAATACTTTAGCATGGTAGGTATGGAAATAAGTGACAAAAAGGGACATATTTCTCATTCAAAACACCATTTGCACCAAGCTGAGTTTAGTTTTGGCTAGAAAATTATTCTTGTAAACATTAAATTGAATTTACCAGCATCTGTAAGATTTATAAGTTTTTTTACCAATAGAGAATATTTTGCATTGAAAGCAGTGCTTGCCCCAAAAAATTGACAAAATGATGAATTGAGGTTGAAAGCTTCACCTTTATGGCATCAGCAAATATGTATCACAAATATAATGATATTAATCAAGCACTGTAACACTTTTTGAATGATTATCCTGATGCGATCATTATTAAATGATTGCAAAAATTCACAATTCATGAGACCATATTCCAACTTCCAAGAAGAATGACAATCTCTCAGTATTTGTCAAGAAATATTGGATACAACCTAATGATTTTGGCAGTTTACGGACTATCAGAAGGTAAAGTGTATTGGTAATCATTCATAACGACAAAACTTCTGTGAAATAATACTTCATGGTGACTTGCATCATGTAGACAACTAACCCCAAAATGAACTACTTCTAGCACAATAATACCTGGTAGCCACATAGAGAAATAATGTACATATACAAAGAATCTAAAGTCAATAAGAATCAAATCACTAATAGGAGTGAAAAAGAAATGGATTGTTTGTAGTCAAAAGAGTAAATGACAATAGTTTTATCAGAACATTAAAGTCCGTTGAAACATTCTCAACACGGATGTGGGACTTGAAACATTCTGAACTCACATGACATACACTTTATATCTATTTTACAAAACCAGGACATGTTACAAAGAAGTATATATTTATATGTGAAGATTTGCACAAGTGAAAAGGTGACTACAGAATCAATTCAACAGTTCAAATAGTTTCATAACATGACAGTAATTATCTGCATGACAATTAGTTACAAAATAGCATCATGAATGTGAAAGAAGAAACCATTTCACTAGCATAATATCTAACACTGAAAAATGAAATGCATCAATACCAATCAGATGTGTAAAACTAACAACAACTTAAAAACAAAAATGAAAAATATTTCTTTCAAAACAAAAGTTTATACCATTTTCTCTGTTCACAAAACAGTTGGATTGACATGATATAACAGAAGATAGGACTAACATTCTCTGAAAATAGTGAATTGCCTGAATCTTCCCAGTTTTGCTGTCAACGCTTTGAATAAAATTAAAGAATATTGTTACCTTATGAAAAATTGCATGAACAAATTCCAATAGTAACTTTTAACAATTCTGTGAACTTGAATACCTAAACATCATCACTAAAATTATATAATAACCAGTTCATTGTAATTAATAGAACTATGCCACTTTGTTGATGAATAACAATGTAAAGATATGTTAAAGTTTAATTTGTAGGCACATGATTTGTCAATTCAAAACAGATGAAAATTGAGCTTTAAAATGTATGTTGATTCCTTGGCAATAGGCTATTGATATATTTAATCTCCGTCCACAATCTCACAAATCATACCACCCCCCCCCCCCCTTTATTTTATTTTATTTTATTTAATTGTAGAGGTCCACTTTACATTACTTGACATAACAGGATCTAACAAAATGACCTATTGGGATATGAACATCTTTCCTATTCATCATATCGCATGAAATCAAAGCAGAAATCTGCACAAAACTACATTTAGGGAATGCATTAGGTGGCGGACTTGGTAATGTTGAGGTCTTGAATCATTTAAACACAAGACAATCAAGATTACAAATTGGTTACCTGCACTGTAGATAAGGTGTACTAATATAAATCATAGATCTTACTTTCCCTATCATTCATTATATGGAAGATTTTTATTGATACAATTAATTATAATCAAATTACAGAATAGTTAAAAAAAGAGAACTTCCTCTCATCTTGGCCTTAAAACTGGCAATGGTGATATTCACAATCACCAATATATACTGTACTTGTCATATTTAAAACTACTTGGGGAAAGTCCTTTCTTCCAACATTGGCTAGAGTGTCTACATCTCTTCTATAATCTTTTCAATATATACCGTAAAGACGTTATATCTAGACCTTCGTAAAGTTTCATTCTAGTAGCCTTCTGCTACCGACCAAACCAGGTATGGTGTAGTCTTTAGAACCTCACTGACTTTACTTTGCAATATAACTATGAAGTTTCTGCATAGACCACATTTAAACCTGAGAACCGTGTATGCTTTGAAACTTGTACATTTTATTATGAGGGATTCAAAGCTCTAGGGCCTAGAGCAAGCCTTCTCAACTGGCGGCGCGCGCGCCACTTGTGGCGCTTGCGGTCAGTCGGAGTGGCGCGCGACTGTTGCACAATTTAAGAAAAAATAAAATTGTATTTTAGAATTAAAAACTCAGCAAAATCAAAAAGACCCAAAATGTTTGAATTTCACTTAATTTGGACAATTCCCGTGTTTATTGCTCCGAAACATCTACATATATATTTACCTCCAGTGTGAATGTACCCAGGAATTGTATGAAATTAGGATTGATATATTTTGGAATAAAGAGGTGTTAAAAATAACACATCTGGGACTTTAGAAAGCCCTAAAATACATCAGCTTCAGGGGCTCCGCCCCCTGCACCCCACCGTTGTCGGCTCGATCGCTACGCTCCCTCGCAGCAAAATCAAACATATTGGTTTGGCACCCTAACTAAAAATTATATTCGTTTTGGCGCTTCTAATAAATTAGTTGAGAAGGCCTGACCTAGAGGTATCCAGTATCACAACATTGAGGAAATTATATTTTGACACTGGCCAACAGTTGCATATTTTGCTAGATGTGATACACTTCATTTTCTCAGAAGTACTCTTCTGACTGAAGAACAAATAAAGTGAGAGAGGAATGTTCATTATATTGAAAGCACAGTACATTATGTTTTTCTATCTTTGACACATACATATTCAAATCATGTTGATGCATATACAATGGGTCTGTAAACAGGACTAGTCACACCTTACAATAATCATGCATAGATGTATTGTACAAAAAGCAGGGGTTGCATCAAAATGTAAGGACCCATGTCAAACATGGGTTCATTTTCTTAACTTCTTTTCATCACTTTATGCAGCTAAAGAACACACATACAAGGAATCCAAGAATATAATATGTTTGAACTGGAATGTCTATCATGAAGTATATGTAACAAAATACTTATCAGAAAATTATCATTTGAGCTAGGGGAACAATCTAAAATCAGAACCTAAAAGATGAATGGAGCATTTCTAACATCACGATAAGGACTAACATTTGAGGGCAACAGGAATCTTTTACTGTTAATGATACTGTAAATATCTATAAAAATAATGATTTTCAATGGACAACATGAATACACAAGGGCACTTATTCTATGACACAAAAATAATTTAATATTCCTCTTTTGATTAAAAATACCATTTATCAGGCTATATTAGATCTCTGTATAAAATACTATAAAATCTGTTGCACGATTGTCCCATCATATCCTCCACACTTCAACTTTCTCTGCAACCACACACCAATTAGCATGGTCATAGTAGCTTTTAACTATGTGAAGATTCTCAATGTTTCTTTCAATCAAGTCTGTTAGTTCACCCTCCTTGAATACATGGTAGTAACGTAGATAAAGGGAAGCATCTGCGGGGTTCTTGGGATTGGTCTTGTCTTCTTCCTTCTGGACCTGACCTTCTGGAGTTTTGCTTCTCTCATCTTGATGGTTGCACCTCAGGTTGGGGTTACTGGCTGGCCGCCTCTTACCAAACTCACTCCTGGAGTTGACAACATTCTTTGAATGCCGTCCAGGGTCATGGGGCTCTAATGGGTCGTCCTGGTTGAGGGAAAGACTTTCAGAGGACGGTTTCCTTGATAAAGCCAGCGGGCTCTCAGGGAATTTGAAATCTTTGGGCATGAGCTTCTCAAGCATAGTAAGGGAGATGGAGCGAGTTCGCAAGTCAGATGCGGGAGTCTGCTCTTTGTTCAGTTGGGATTGTTTGGTTGGATTGATAGGGTATGCTGTCAAACTTTCATCTGAGGAGGACACAGAATCAAAAGAGGACTCAAGGTCCTTTTCTGATCCTGACTGGGACAAACGATTCCTTCTTTTGAGGGGCTTGAAGACCTCTCCCCTTGCAGATGTAAAGTTCAACCCAACTACTGGCTTCTTGCCTGTCTTTCCTTCAGATTTATACAAGAGTTCTAAAGACTTGGTGATAACCCCATTCCATGGACTGGAGCCCTTTTCTTTGGTCTCATCAGACCGAAGATTAAGTTTGAGTTGTAGCTTTCGCCAATTCAGCAACTTCTTAGTGGCCTCTGAGCATTCTCCATTGACGCTACCATTACTAACAAACCCTGATGTGTCGCTACTCCATGTTGATGCCTTCAAGTCACTTCCCTTATTAAGGTTCTTGACATCTATTGCACCTTCGGAGTTATGTGAGAAAGAAGACAGATTTCTCCTATTAGCACCAAATTTTTCTAAGGAAGTTCGGGGTGAGCTGGTTCTTTCAAAATCTCTTTCATCCAGTGACTGAGAGCTTAACAGTGGTGAAGTTCGCTTTTTTATATTTCTGAGAGGTTTTGAATGCTTTGGTAGAATACTGTCACAACTGCCTGAGCCATTTAGCAGAAGGTGGGAACGGGGGTGCCTGTTCTTAAGGGACTGACCACTCTTGTGTCCATTTTCATAGAAGCCCATAGAACCGTCTTTATTTATGATACACCACTGGTTCTTGGTGTTCTCATCAATGTCATCATCATCGTCATCCCCAAAGACACTATTGACATCACCTTGGGTCATGTCATCCTCACTCCTGAATGGGGACGTAGGTGAGTAGGATGCAGGAAATACCTGGAGGAAACCATCCCACATAGTCCCTCCCCTCTCTCCTTCTTCTACACTACTACTCCTGCTCATCATTCGTCTACTCATCCCGCTGTCTGACTGGCACCTGGTCTTGGCGACTCTTGGTTTAGCACTCAGAACAACACTCTCCTCACAGCTATAACACTTCCTCAATACCCGGGCTTCCTCTGATCTTGGCTGGTCCCTACGGTTAGGAAACTTCTCCCGGAGCCAGTCCCTCTCTGTTGTATGCCTCTGGAGTGTCTTGGTCTTCCTGGATCGCATACCTCCATTCTGGGCTGACACAATGGCTGGATGGACTTTCATTTTTGATAGCTTGCCGTCTGTCTTCCCGTTAAGCGCCTTGTCTGGTTTTTTGTTTGTCTTCACGTCGTCATCATCACTGGCTGAACTGCTGCTGTTGTGATTCTGGTTCTTGCTGTTCGGTTTTCCTGTGGCAAATGAAGTAAGAAAAAACAAAATATACTTTAATGTCTTTTTCCTAAAATAATGACTAAACAAACAGATTCAAAATCATCTTGGTATAATTATTCTCAATATAGAGCTGTGATGAATTAATGTATTCTTGTCCCAAGGTTGTCATGCATTATACTTGAATAATGCTATATGTTAATGTTATAGTAGAATGATAGAAATGATGTGCTAAAGGTCATTTAAGAGACAACCTCATGTGCTGATTTCCAACTCCTGGCCAATAATCTCATCAGTCTGATCAACATCAAATTGTTAAACGAGCTACATGTTTTGTACAAAAATGTTAAAAGAAAACAACCAGATTCATTTTTTAATCTTTTAATCTCCAAATTCACTATGAAAATCTGCTGACACAAATTGTGTTACTCGATTTGTTGGGGATATTTGTAAATATTCTAATTGGTGGTACAATACAATCAACAAAAACCCACAGCAGGAATCATCAAATTAACCATTGCCTAACAGTACAAATCACTTTTTTCTACAATACTTGGCATTAGTCAAATAATGTACCCTTTTTTTTTTTGGCGAAGGCTGCTTGACACTTCTTCATTTAGAAAATTCTATACAATTTCAACTATTCGGACTGTGAACAAAAATCACTTCCTCCCAAGGGTCTGAATGGCATCCAATGCCTTAAGCACTGTCCGAGAATAATTACCTCTAGAGTGATTTGATCGTTTCTAATATTTGCTCCATCTGAAGCGAAGTTTGTCTCCAACTGTGATTAATGCCCTCGAGCAATCTCTTAGTTAAATCTCATGCCCAGACAGCCAGACAATTAGCCATGCATGTAGTCTTCTCTCAAACCTGATCACAAATTTTGATCTAGTTTTATCTAGATCAGTGGATTGATATGGAACATATCAGAACTCCCCCAGACACATTACAGTCAAGCACAGGAGTGCATCTCCTACTTTAGGACAATATGCATGCACCAACCCCTCCCCCCCCCCCCCTCACACCCCAATCCACAGATTTCTACATCACATTTGCAATTCCATCAAGTTTCAAACAAGATAATTTTAATCATCAATTCAATAGAGTTTGCAAAATTATGATGTCTGGCAAGCTTAACTCAAAGTTCATGAACTCAGCACCTTTTTTTTCTGTGAAATTTCTGTTGTTTTAATGTTGTTGTTATTGTTAAATTATTCTATGACGATGATCCCAAATATAGTTACAATTTTTCTGTGAGTCAGTGATGCCCTTACTGCAAACAGGGAGGTGAAAGAAAGGAGTGGAAACTCTTGTAATTTATTCAATCGCATTCGTGAGTTCTAAATGGTAACAATGGGATGGAATATTCCACATGGCTTTGAAGTTTCATGCTCCGAGCCACACTTCCACTGCAGGGAATTTCAAAGACCAGGCACCAGTTTTATATTTATTACAAAATCTTAAATTACCGACAAAATGCGAGTTTTTTAAATTTTTGCAGTTGGAAAAAAGGATGACATTACTCAAATTAGTTTTCGCTTGTTCTACTTATTACACATTCAACAATTGATGAAAAATCATTGAAAGGGGCAGCGAACAGTTGCTGGAATACTATTTTCTCATGTAGGAATTCTAAATCCTGAAATTTCATGAGCCCTTTTATCTCACCACCTGGTCAACAGTTGCAGATTAGCGCATAACTTTTCGGCGGCTTGGAGCATGGGGTCAAAGGAAAGCAGCTTGATTCCACTCCTTCCTTTCACCTCCCTGCTTCAAACAACAAACTACACCATCCCACTTTCTTTGAGTACATCTATTATTGCTACAGAGAACATGGAAATTCATGCACTGATAATTTTACTACCGTAAGTACTTATATCAACACAACCCACATCTATTTACAGTTGACTGAGCACTTAAAAATGAATTTTTGTAATGTAAATACACAAATGTAGTTACTAATGTACAATACAAGCAAAGCAAGGAGTGCATTTTTATGCCATTATATTATCTCAAAACAAATATCAAAGAAAAATTTAGAAATATTTGAAAAAAACAGAACAGATGAATAATAACCTGTGAGAACACAGAATGCTTCAAATATGTCATAAAATAGTTTAAGGCTGTTCACCAAGGAAATTTTTAAAAGTATTTTTGCTTTTTTAAATCTAGCACACACCCCATTCTTTAACAATGTCACAAATCGGTTGATATTCACTGTGATGGAGTGTGATTGTAGATTTGTAAAGTAATATCCTTTTACATCCTTGTTCTTCCACCAAGTTGACAAATATGAAATGTAACATTCAATCAAATCTAACTTTAAATACATGAATCAATTTTGAATTTCAAGAAGAGAGACTATCATTACTTAGCTAAAGAAATATGACACATTATCAAAATTTGGTGGTGTATAACCTGTAAACTACTTACAGTACCGGGTGGAAAATCATAATTGCTATGCACTTGAATGTTAAAACTTGAATTTGACATGTGAGATCTGTTTCCTGTTTATCAAATATTTGGAAGAAAGAATAAAGAAATGTTGTACTCAGATGCTCATTCATTTCATGGTTAATTAATTTCAATTAGATTCCACATGAGGAAACATCCATTAACCTTTGCAAAGATAATAATCCTACATTTCTACATGAACGTTATTTGTTGTGCATTAGACTTTTTCAACACAAAGAGCAGAACATTTTCTTTCATTAATTTCAATGTCTGAAAATGTTAAAAACTTTCAGGTGCAATTTGTTTAGTTGTAGGTTAAAATACAGGGTATATCAAATTCTCTTGAGTATTTATGTAAACAAATAAATACAATACTTATGATGTATGAGTCTTCTGTGTGTATAGAACTTAATTGTTTATGTATCCTAAAATTGTATGTTCTCTCACTTGGAATATAAGACAAATCCATACTCTGCAAGAGTATACCAAGAATAGATTTGTAATTTCATTATCAAGAACATAGCTCTGGGAATGCCTTTAAACATAAATCCTTTTATCTTTAAAGCACACCAACCACCTGCAAAACCACCAGAATGTAATGTTTATAATCAACTTTAAACTAATTACATTTTTTTTCTCCATATTTTTCCCTCCACAGGTATTTTATTGATTTTCATTTGAAACAAATTAACAAATATATATTCAAGGTAATTTACATTTATAACATAAACAAAATTGGCTTTTCAAGATACAAGTATTGTTGAACTGTTGAGTTAAGAGAAAACTAACAAATCAATAATTCATTTCTGACACTCATGGAAAGAAAAACAAATACAGAAAAAATATCATTATAAGTAAACAAATTCCTGAATTGAAACCATTTTCTTGTGAATTTATTATTTCTACAATTCGAATTTGCAATATACTTTTCGTTTTTGAAGTAATTTATGATAGAAACTCTAATATTATCAAATTTGGGCAATTGTTTCTTTATTTTGCAAGTATACACCATCTGTATTAATTACATTTATAAGGCGCTTTATATTCAAGTACTTTACCTGCCATTCTAACAGTTAAGGGGTATGAAGAATTTAAAGGATTACATAAAACCCTACATAGAAGGGTCGGACAGAAATTTATCCTTCTAGTGTGTACATTTTCAGGAACTAGTTCTGAGAATGTATATAAATCTTTGTAGAAGTAATATTTGAAACTCATATTTAAAATACAGTATAGCCACATGAAAACTCTTACATCAAGAGCAAAACAAATTTTGGTGATCGGTATACTTTAACTCAAAAGCCTTCTTCATCCTTCTATTATGAATGCAATGAGTTTGGTTGTCAATATTTGGCTCCGCAGAGCAACCAATTTCCCTAATTCAGAGAGCAAAATGATTGGACTGAGTGAGATGATCTATGGATTTAAATCTGGAAGAAAGTGTCAGATTGGAAATGGAGAGAAAGATTTTGTCAAAAGTGATTAAAAGATAAATGCAGGAAACATGGTGACTACAAGGAATGGAATGTATGTTTCACAACACTTGTTATCAATAACAAGTTGAAATAACTGATATAAGCTACAGAAATCATGGCATTGGATTGGGTGAGAGCAAATTTGTTACAGAGTATTTTTTAAGCATTTCTTGTTGATAAGCAGTTTCATGAAAAAGGACCCTGGTCTGTACTCTGTAGACTAACTTCCCACAGTCAAATGGTGTTTATAACCCACTGAGCATGTTCCTTGTTTTGATGGAATAAGAAATCTGCAGCTTTGTCACAAAGCCCTCACCATTGAATATATAATAGTGGATGCCTACAGAGGTCATCTTATAATTTTGTTATTATTTTTCTTTTGTTAATTAATATGACGGGTATGTTGATTATTGTGAAACATTTACAATAAGCTACTGCAAAGAATTACGAGTGAACACAACTTATATATCACCTTGCTTCTGATAATCAACCAGACCACATTGTGATCCTCTAAGAAAGTGAAACACACATTAATTGCAAACCTTGAGCAACACTTACTTTTGTCAGTTATATATGACAACTTTTTTTTCAGTGGCTGTTTAGTAATGAAAATGCAATACTTCCTATGATCATATTTTGATTCAAGAGTGGGTGGAAAACCATCAAGAGAAGCCATTCACATCAAGGCCGGATGCGACAAAACAGGAATCTCTTGTCACCAACCTCTTTTCACAATCGGAAATCAGAAAGCATAATGTAAAAAAAAAACATCACTGAAAAAAACAACTTCTCTTCTTATCTTCGATGACGCAACTTATTTCACCTCAGACTGAGATAGGCTTTATACAATTTCCGTAGATTTCAAAAATGAGGAAACAACTCAACCACAAAAGCCTCATTTCCCTCGACTCCAGTAAGGGTCGTGGAGTGACGGAGATGATTTATATGCTATTTTGAGATCAATCTTCCAATGTGCAAATATATTGATTGGTTTAGAGACTTGCATCCAGACAAACATATCATGTTCACAAATAACAAACAGATAATATTAAATTTAATTAAAACTGATTTTAAGAATAAATCATGAGCAGCTGATTATATGACAACAGGAGGTTGATATGCATGTACAAAAGTTAAAAATACTTAAGAGTTATACACTGCAGCACAAGATTGACTTGACCAACTTTGGTGAAAAAATAGTATGGAATAGCAGAGGGCATTCCTGTATTAAACATGTGTACTTAATTACTGGTAGTGCAAATCTGAAAATAAAACTACATCAAGAAACTGCATTGATCAACTGCATTGATCTACATTTGCCACACTCAACCCAGGTGATGTAAATGGGTACCTGGCAGGAATTAATTCTTTGAAATGCTAGAGCGCCGTAATGGCAGCACAGCTACAGCCGAGGTATTAATCTCCAAGTTTGGAAGCGCTAAGTGATTGTAATAAGTGCTATATAAAAACTGAGTTATATTATTAATTTTAAAAAGCTAAAACTTGGCAATTTCCATCAACATTTTTTTTCCAATTAATATCAAATAAAAGGATGTTTATAATTCTCTGTCCAAAACAGCACATTTTATTCTCGCAAAGGTAAAAAAAAAATTCTCATTAATTTTTGCCTCTTCAATCTCAGATGAACATCAATCTAGCATACATCTCTGAGGCATTGGACAAATATCAATCAAACACAATCTTAGAGTCGTGATCTATTTTTTTAAAAACTTGATTAATGTCACGTTTTCTACCAGCCGTATGCAACATGAGTGATGAAGCTTCTCTCTCAAAAACAGTCCTTCAAGAGCCCATGAGAGGCTTTTTTTTAATGTTACTTCACTCTAAAAAATTTGAACATTAATAGAATGTTTTGCAGCTTCAATCAAGGTATCTCGCCCACATAACTTCATTTTCTTCTCTCCATTACATTACTTGTGCTATAGTGGAGCTCCTGTTTTTTAAAAGCCACATCAAGGCAAAGAGCACAATAAATTCATTTTCTACGACAATATCCTTGGCTGACAGCAAGAAGGGCATCCACTTATATTAATTCTACAAAGAACTAGTGCCCTTCTGCGGATGATGTGTGCTCTGAGTGTCCACCAGCAATCAATATTGCATTTCTACATTTTTCTCTCTCTACCTCTTGTTTTCATTTTTTTTCAAAAGCACATACTTCATCACCCGTACCACTCTGTGCTATATCCATTTTAGATTGAATAGTCATTCAGAGAGCATTGGATGATCGTTGGAGACCTATTTCAACTCGCTCAAAATAGTAATTCCTATCAACGATTCTACTAGACAAGAAAGAAATAGAGCCTTTATCCCACTCCAATGTGAATTTAGTCAATCTCCTGATATTGCATTGCTGCTATCCTCTTATAGAATTCAAGAAAGATATATTTTTGTTTTGCTTTTAGTAGTTCATATTAGAGAGAAAATATCACAGACTTCTAAACTCTCTGGAAGAAAAGGAAAAAATATCATTTTCAATATGAGTACCGGTAAGCTTGATTGCAATATGAGAATTATTTTGATGAAGAGCCAAGAACATACAGGGTGTTTTTTAAATCACTAAAATAAAAAGTTACTGTGAGCTTAACTTTCAAATATTGCCCTGGACCATGTTTTCAAGTCCCATTTCCAAACAAAACGGCTCAACGTGACAAATTTAGAGACATGTCAATCAATGTAACGATTCAAAGCAGTTACATTCTACTTTAATTCTACTTGGAAAACAAAGATACAGCTAAATATAGAATATAGCTTTTATAAACCAATTAATGATAATCGGAAAGATGTATTTTCCGGGATACAATGTATTTGAAATCCCATACAATACATGACCTACAAAAATTATGTGTTAATCATCTTGTTGATGAGGTGTTCTGACATTTGCTACAGCAACGATTGCTCTGGGTTTTATATCACTATAAGTACAAGGTTAGGTACAGTATTTGGTCCAGAGTTAAGTTAGGAACATGGTTAGTGTAGGAACTTAACTATGGAGCAATTGTTGAAGGAGCAAGTGTCGTAAAACCGTTGATAATGATCTCACCTTAAGCCTAAACAACATGTATCATAGGTACTATTTTTTGAGCATTTGAGATGATCAGATGTAAGCTACATTTTTGCCAAAATGAATTACCTTTGCTTCTCCTGGTTCGCATGTTCTTGGGCTGGAGATGCCACGGCACCAACACATCTTGAGCATCAAACTGAAATAATGATGTAAAGAAAAATTCAAATTTTTACAAGAATATTAAAAAATCATTCATTAAAAAGGTTTGCCCTGGAATCTTGCACAATTTTCAACATAGATGTATATGACTACCACAGCAATAACATAAACATATCGTATACATCCTGACTTATGGCAGAGAGTTTTTGGGGGAGGTGGGGGCCTTTTTTTATTAATCATTCACCACCAAAATATATGCTGGAAAGTTATATTGTATAATATAGACTCTCCACAGTAAATCAGATTGAGACAAGTAAAAATTTCTTCAAATTAAATCTCATTTCAGGTAGTTTTAGTACATCATTTGATAGCTCTAAGTTGCAACTTAAAAGGGGGCAGTGTATTTAATAAATATTAGGCGACTGGCGACAAAGTAAAGTACCTCGAGATGTAGCTGTCCTTTCAAATAGCTCCATCCATTCCTTCAGTTAAGCTTGTAATGGAGCATGCGTAACATGATACTAGCAAGGCGGCACGCTTCTGCCAATTTGCAGACATAAAAACTAACTGCCTTTCTCAAAGCTGTGACCACTAGGAGAATCATGCAGTCTCCTCTGATTTAATCTCTCTACTCAATCTGGAGTGCGCCCCCGATCACTTCTGCCACAGATCGAATGAAATCTTCAAGAATTTCAATTCATTCAATAAACGAATATTAACCCATCGATGGTGTCATTTCAACCGAACCGTCTAATCCATCCGGTTTTAACCATGACTGCACTTACGCTCTAATGCAATGACAATTTGTATCACCAACAGTTTAAGATTTAAACTACGGTTGCAGAAAAACTCCTCTTTCCTTGCAATAAAATAAGCTCACCACTTGGGCTTTGACGGAACTAGAGGGCACTAGCTCAAGCCGTAATGGACTGAACATTTTGTTTCATCAAACATACAAGATTTAAACTAGTGGTACAAAAAAACCTGTCTCTTAAAGTTTCGTGATAAAAGAAAGATGGATAGAGAAGTCTGCATGACACTACAGTAATGACAATATGATAATGAATATGCATGCAGTCGTCACACTTTTAAACTCAATTATGAATTGAAGTTAGTAAATATCAATTCTATTATGGTGTTGTGTAGAGGTGTCATGGTCTAGTGGATATGACACCGGACTATGGATCACATCTTTTGGGTTCAAGTCCCCCCGCTGCCCATAAAGTCCTTTGACAAGACATCAGTCTACATTTGCCACTCTCCATCTAGGTGTTAAATGGGTACCCAGTAGGATTCGAATGTTAATGTGGATGGTTTGGCAGGTGTGTGCTTGTAAAATGGTGCCTAGGTGGAATAATCCCCAAGGAGCGGAGCATGTACACTATCATTTGCAGATCAGCAATTGAATCCAATGATAATGATTACAATGTAAAGCACTTAAAAACGTAGTATTTAGCACTCTACAAATGTGATTACTATAATTATTGAATCTTTTCTTGCAGTGTCTCTTTAACAAAAAGCTTGCTCAGTGCTTCTCGGCCTGAAAAACACGAGGTTATAATCTTCTCCATACCACATACATATATTGATTCCTGTATGCCTAGATTCACTGAAAGTGTATTGATTGATTGTGCGCCTTTACTTGAGCACGTACCCTGAATCTTCGACTTTACTTCAAAAGCTAAACATGCATGCATCAAGTTAGTGTATGTGCTGATCTGAATTCTTGAATGTAAATGCCACATTCCTCCGCAGCACATACAATTATTGATCGTTTGCAGTCTGTCTCCTCTCCCTGTTGGCTTATCGTATCTATCCGTTTCGCAAATTAAAAGATAGAAAAGCTTAAAGGCATTGTTTAACAATGTTTCCAGTTTTACAAATATGAGATGCATGGCTCTCCGTCTTATCAGTGTCTGTGATTTGGTGTAATATTGAAGCCCTACAAAAATTGCGCTTCAAAATGATCATAAAATGCTTAAAAAATGTAAAAATCTTTGAGTGACCGGTTTTACCATATCTCATTTCCCCAATAGACTGTAGTGTAATAAAAAAGGTTTTGAAATTTCTAATTCCAATCTTAAATATCTTGATAATCAGACAGGCCATCAGCTTGTAATAGTCATGGGATTCCTGAATGACTTAAAGGTTTATAATTATCATTGCAGCATGAGCTAAATCCAGGATTTTGTTTAGAATCTGAGGCAAAGATACCAAATCCTTTAAACACAGAGGATAGAGCAACATTTGTTTTGAACAAGATCAATAAGATCTACCAAACACCTGGTGGGTGTTTCACAAAGATCTTAAGTTGAACTTATCTCTAAGTTGGACTTAACAATTATGGAAAGCCGTTAGCATCATTGAAAATATATTGTAAAAATTATTTTAACAGGCATAAAATGTTGATTCAAATTATTCATATTTTCTATTATCTTGGGAGATTTCATGTTCTTGAAAGTCTAAAATACTTGAATTTTGCTTTTGAATATATTTCATTTTAATGCCACAAAATAATGGCTCTCCATAATATCTAAGTCCAATTTAGAGTAAAGTTTGACTTAGAATCTTTGTGAAACACCCCTCAGATGTGTTCTAATGTGCCGAGGTATGATCAAACCAGTTGAGAAAGTGCATATTTCTCAATGTTTTGGTTTTGTGTAATTGGTTGTACTTTATGTATTAATCCTTGGGCTCCAAAGTTGCTTTACTTAACTGCATGCTCATGGTTCAGAATTTGAGATGGTGTACACTTTAGGCGCCCTCCCCAAACCAAAGAAATAGTCAGAACTGTCAGGGTAATACCCTGACAATATTTCCATAAATGCTGGAAGCATCACGGCTTTCTAGATTCTGGTACAAATCTAACATGTATCATAAAGTTCTGATAGGAAAAATAAATCAGAAGGAAACCTGTTGCATTTGGTCTCCTCTTGGTTCCGTGTGTAATCACAAGATACAAGTGTCAAATATCTTAACATTCAGTCCGTCACTTTCAATGTAAGATCAGTTAAATATCGAAAGAAAACTAAAATCCAGGTCACCGCTCAATCTTGGCTAGAGTAGAGTTCATAATCTTGCCTGCTCTACGTGTGTTGGATCTACAAACATGACACACATTCTGAACCTACATGTACATGAAGCCTAAGGAGGACAAGTTAGAAAGGTTAATGAGTTCTTACTGAAAGTAAATCAGACCCTCACTCATGGAGACGTGGGGATCATGGAATAAAAGCCAGCAGGATTTCCACAGATAAACAGAGAGGAGTAGAGTTACATGGAGATGGTAAAGTGGAGAAAATACTGAGAAACGTGTCAGTAGGATGAACTCAAAAGAAGGAGAGTGAGCGACAGGGAGAGTAAGAGAGAGGAAGATAGAGAGAGAGAGAGAGAGAGAGAGAGAGAGGGGAGGGGGGGGGGGGGGGGGAGGGAGAGGGGGGGAGGGAGAGGGGACATGCTACATAGTTATTCAATCCAGTGGATCATAAAAACATAGCACTTATATTTCATGAATCGAGAGTTGCTAATTATTTCATAGGTGAGAATTCTGCACATGTTGCATGTTTAAAAGGGTATATATCTTGATGTCCAAGAAACTTGGGACTGGTTTGTGTAACACTATCTTAAATGTCAATAGTACTTTTCTATGCTAGGATAGAAAGAGTCGTGGAGAAACCTATTTTACATGATTTAGTGACGCTACCTGTCTTTGTTTTTGCTCCAAAGCCCAAACGTATATCATGACCAGTCCTCCAGGTCGGCATATCCTCGCCAGCTCCTGAATGGCCTGGACGCGCCGCTCAACCGTGGCAAAGTGGTGGACAACCGCGATGGAGATGACGGCATCGAAGCAGTTGCTACGATACGGGAGGCGCAGATTATCACACACCATGGCCTCGTGGCCCCTCTTGGCGGATATGTCCACAAGATTTACGCAGCAATCAGAGCCAATCTTGAAGGTCTGGTCGTTGATTCCAAGGTATTTGCCATTCCCGCATCCTAAGGGAAGGTGACAAAAAACGAGAGAAAAAGGAACGGGAGATAAACTTTGATTAATGACAGCCACAGGTTGATTACCCTGCGGGGAGTTTCTTTCTCCTTGGATGGAAATCTAGATGACACAAAGAAAGACAAACCTGTCACTCCAAGGTCTTTTCGCAATCAACATTAGAAGCTGAAATCGACATGGAAGGCTTTAAAGCCACAACTCCACTCTTATTAAAATTACTGTGGAATCAAAAACTCAAAAGTATGATATTTTAAGCCCACACTCACATTAACAGATTACATTGTAAGATATCTTGAGTTTGGCATCCATAAAATCTTGTGCTAGTGAGAAGTGATGCTCCAATATTGTAACAATTTGTAATCCACAGAACAGATCCCACAATATCTTTATTTTGGGAGGTCGAGTGAACTGATTGATAATGTTTATATTTTGATTTGGTGGAGAAATATCATAATTTTATTCAAAATACATGGGTATGACGGTTGATACCTAGAAAATGAGAGGTAGAAATAAAACAAATTTTGAAGAAAGGTAAGAAGAAAGAGAGAGGAGGAAATGGAAGATAAACTGTGATCAATGATCAGCACAGGTCGATTATCCTACTAGGATTTTCTGTCTTTGAGGTAAATACGTTAGATGAGAGAAAGAAATTCACGACTTATCACCTGGTGGTGTATTTAGAATTATTCTCAATACAAATAGAGATAATTGTTTAGTTTTATCAATTAACAAACATTTTCTTGCTCATATAGCTGTGAAATTGTGATAAAATATGTAAGTATTATGAGATTTAGTTGAGAAACAGATATTTCAGCCCTTTTATCCATTTAAATGTAATTTGAAAAGTGAAATCTTATAATTCTTTTGAAGATTGACTTGTAAAGTATGCTGCAGAATTAAGAAAATGGGGACAAGAACAACAACAAAAAACATTGTGAGATTTGTTAGAAACACAAAGAGGATACAGGGTTAGTGAGACAAAAATGAAATTATGTAAAATATGATGAGGGAAACTTTACAAAAGACAGCAAGAGAGAGGGAGAGAGAGGGAGAGAGAGAGGGAGAGAGAGAGAGGGGGAGGGGGTGAGTGGGGTGATGAAGAGAAACATAGAAAGCTTGCATACCTGTTTCAACTACTAGTATACTTTACATAATTACAAATCTAGCTCGGGGAAATTACTAGGAAGCTTGATGGCTTTGTGGATGACACAGGATTCCACAGGGTAAGGTGAGGAAAACAGAAACAACACAGGACAAAGGACACATGACATCTTGGAAAATAGGAATGAAAATGTGCCATAGGGGATATGGAAGGAAAGAGTTGAATGCTCTAGCTATGTTCACAGGGGACCGCCGTAGATTTTAACTTAAAGTTTGCGAAACCTTGAAGTGATTATCAATGATCCATTGATAATGACAAGGTTCACAAGGGACCCAAACAATGAGTATTCAAAGTTAACAAGCCGGAAAAGGTATTCTTTTAAAATTCATTGAAACTACAAGCTAGCGTAACCTTCACGCTGATTGCGTCCACATGGCACATAACTGATCGCTGTGTGAACATGGCTCCTAATAGACATGGAAAATGAGAAGCCCATAAGGCATGCATACATACACCATGTAGAGGTCCAATTACCTGCAATGTAGCTATCTTTAATAATACACACTGATGTGATACTAACATGAATTAAAGAGATCTGAGGTATACTAGCTATGTGCCTATTTCTCTATTACATGTTCATCTGTTGCACTTACATTAACCTCTGACAATTTTTTCATGCATCAAGTAAAATATTGCAATATTTCCATACACATGGCAATTAAAACATTTGCACTCCCCCCCCCCCCCCCCCCAATCACTGGTGCAATGATATTAATATGTGACACAAACCTATTCACTGCCATTTTGGATAGCAGTTCATCTGCCAAACCAGGGTATTTCCATAAAATTTGGGCAGCACTATACTGCTGATGAAGAAAATATTGTCACAGGTAGCCCACAGCATATGTATTATGAAGATCGTCTAGAATCCCAATACTACAAAACAATATTTGAAATCAGACAAATTTGGATATCATATTGCCGTCTGATGCCGTGAAATTAACTTCCATAGATCAGGAATTCTTGGAATAAACAGTTGTTATAGTTTCTGCTCATTCCTTAATGTCTTGTAAGGTATGAATATAAAATCTAATTTCATGATATGATTTTTCTCCTTCCTTTTCTCTCTCTCTCTCTCTCTCTCTCTCTCTCTTGTCCTAGCTTCTTTAACCTCCCCCTCTCTATCTCTCTCTCTCTCTTTTTGTTCATCTAAAATCTCAATATCTTGCCTTTCCCTGTTCCTATTACCTGCCATCTCAGTCGAGAAATACATGAACTCAACAATTCTAAAGATCAAGTCTGCATCCCCCCTGCCTATATCTCCGTCTTTATCTCTCTCTATTTCCTAAAATATATGCACACATCTTGTGCAAATCTCATATTGATATTAAATTACTACCAATTTAAAAAACTTAAACTAAACGAAAGTAAGAACACCAGCAAATCAGGGAAATATTAATGAAACATTTACTTTGTTAAAAAATGATGAAATCAAAATCCAAAGTACAGTTTCTACCCTCTTACTTTAAATACTAGATAAAACTCCTTGTTTGGTTCCAAACGAGACGATGAGGAGTATTCTAAAGAAGAAGATAATTTGCTTCCCTGTGATTAATGACTCTCCCTGAATACATGTATTCTCATCACACATTACATGGTCGTGCAGTGCATCGGGTCAAATCGCTTCATTTCGTCAGGGAGATCCCTCCCATCTCCCTTATTTCATCTAGCCAATTCTACCTCTCGAGTCTTATCTATCATTATAGTCTCTCAACAAAGACTCTTCTCATGCTTTAGCATGCTACATATTAATGGAGACTACACAGAAGGGTGCATTTATTTCTACATTTACATACATGGATTAAAAATCAGTCTGGGATACAACAAATGCTACAATATGCTTCTCCGCTTGCCCCCCCCCCCCCCCACTCTCTCTCTCTCTCTCTCTCTTTGCTTAAAGAATAAATATATCACTCTAAAGGTCTGTTTTCATCAGCTCGAGATTGCCAAATAACCCGCTTATTTCAACTATACCGATCGCATATTATCCAGCTAATTTGTTTCTTATATTTGGATATTTGTTCGAGATAATCATCACAAGATATCCTGTGCTAGTTTGCAAAATATCCTGCTATTTGTCCGGTGCGTCTTCACCAGCCCGAAGACTCGCACTATGAGCGAACCCTGAGCAAAATATCTCGAGCTAATTTTTTTACCTTGAGTTTTGAGGTTGAGTCTTGAGCTGATAAAGACGCAATTTGTAACTTCGGGCTATTTCCCAAATCAGAAAATTCAGGCTATTTGGCAATCTCCAGCTGATGAAGAGTAGACATACCTAAAGTGATCTTTCTCACAGAACCGATAATTACAGAATTTTCAAAATGTCTCCATAGGAATTGAAAACCAATCATATTTATACCATTCATTACCACTGCCTTGTGCAGCACAGGTCAAAGACAAGCCAGGACATTATGATAATTTGTATACCAGTATTATCTTTATTCTCTTTATAGAATTTTTTGTTTTGTTTAATCAATGTTTATATCGAAGTGCAGGGGCAGACTGGTTTATCTAGATGTATTCATACTTCCAAATATCAACAATTTTTTTTCTTTCTTGGTCTTATATCAGACAAACTTAGTTAGTACATTTTATTTTCTAGTCCCTCCTTCCCTTTTACAATAACATGTATGTATCCTGCACATACGCTAAATATTAATCAGTTTTATAATGGACAAACACCTGCATTTCTCATAATCAATAGCGATCAACAGCAGCTGTTAAATGAATTAATAGCAGTCTGCACCAAATAGGCGATCTAAATGTAAGATTTATTGACTACGAGTAATGTTGTGGTGTGTGGTGAGAGCATGAATCCCTTGGAAGATGGGTGCAATGTCCTATGATAAAAATAGATCCTTCTGCTCTCATCACAAAACCAGTCTACGTCCATTTCTGCACCATTCTAAATTGCCAGAAGGAATCTTGATCTTGTTTCAAGTCTGTCAGTATTGACTTACAAGATATTGCATCTATCCTAAACATTAGCATCCTTATCCTCGTGTTAAAGAAGATGGATTTCCCCCTTGGAGGCTCACATACAATTGATAGGAAATTATCGCGAAACCCATTTCTAAGGCTATCTCATCTTGTAAGAGATTAAACAAAGCAATTATACTTGATAAATCAAGTAATAGAAACTGCAGTTTGAAATTGCAATGAATTTTTGTCAAAATATATGCTACACAAATCGTCCTTGTTTTCACGAAGTGACGGTAGTGAGGAAAATCGTCACGCAAAGTGAATGCAATTTTTTTTCACTACCGTCACTTTGTGAAAACAGGGAAGAAATAATCTCCTTGTGCTACTTTTGTTTATCATTGTATAGATATACCAAAGGCTTCAAGATTATTTAACTGTATCCGGTGCAAGATTAATCTATTCTGGTGTTAAAAGGGTCGCCAAGGAACTAATCATGACTGAAAATGAGTGATTTACAAAGCCATTGTGCTTCACAAAGCAATCCTTCTGTTAGTTGGCATATTTTGCAACAAGCAACCATGCAGAGAGGCAAAGAAAGCATCTAAAGTGTTAAAATATGCTTTTGCATTAAAAAATCAATCTATAGATGATATTTTGCAGTAAATTATATAAGAATATTGTTTGTTTTTCCTCCCTCCCTCTCCCATCCCTCTGTCTCTGTCTCTGTCTCTCCCTCTCCCCCTCTTTCTCTCGACCTATCTATCCCTCTCCCCCTCTCAAGCTCCCCCTCCCAAGCTCCCCCTCCCCCTTCTCCCTTTGACTCTGTCTCTCTCTGTCTGTCTGTCTCTCTCTCTCTCTCTCTCTCTTAATTCTTATATAAATATCCTTGCAAACAGTCTTCAGGCA